TTGATACCTTGAACGGGAAGAATAAGGGGAACCAACTGAGCATTTCCGGAGATATTTGCTCCTTACTATCTGGATGTATACTGAGGCCTACATCACGATAGAGGACTGCTTCGAAATAGCCAGCTAGCCCATGTAATACACCGGCATTGGGGATATGGAATGTTAGCTTGGCCGAGCGAGTATTGTGTGTATTTGTTATCGGAAGCCCTTTGAGCAGCACATCAGAAATTGATAGAATAAATATATAGACACTTGCCTCGCTCATTGAGTACAGCGTCTCTCCTTGGATGTATGAATGTCCAACATTCCTGTATTTTTGTTCCACAGGCACCTCGAAGTCCTCCACCTTCACCACTTAAGGTCTTGACTGATTGAAACATTACCACGTACGGCGTCTCTGGGCTTGACTTATTTGTATTCAATAGTACCTCGTTGTGAAGTTTCGGCGAGCATATAGGGGCTATGTACGCAGTATAGGATGAGGGTATCGATATTCCATCGTCTATCATAACAGTAAGTCAAGTGATCCAAAGGAACAGGTTCTTACCTTTCAGAAACCGCATAGCACCATCCAGACATTCCGGACTGGCTTCGTTGTCTCCAAAGGACCCCAACAATTCACTGACCAAAATGTCCACACTTTCCGGGATCTGGATTTTTCGCATATCCCCATATATGAGATTGACTCTATCGCCCCAGGTCATCTCCTTCTGTTCTTGCAGCCTGTATCAATCATCAACGGAAGGCCAATAGACCGTAGAAGGACCGACGTGACAAATGCATTGGGGTTCTTCTCGACAACATATACAACACCCTGCATTCTGTTTCGGTCCAGTGCTTGAAGACATCTCGTAACCAAAGGACCTCGCCCAGCACCGGCGACACAGATCACTCTATAGTGGGTTAATAAAATCACGCCTGATAGATTAGATACCTACGTGCGAGAAGCCCGTCGATCAGCTAACGCTTGAAATACAGCCTACGGAAATTCAGTACATAAAAAAGAGAAAACAAAGAGCCAGACCTCTTCATATCGCTCGTATTTTACTGGATCTCGCTCAAAGGTCTCATAGGTACCACTTTGCAAATTATCCATTAGTGGCTAAAGGGGGTTAATGTAGTGTACCACACAAAGATGTGAAAATACCTGGAGTGGTGCCTGCAAGTAGTCCCAATAACCTTTAGCAAAATTCTCCAGCGTTCCAGCTTGATTTGAAGCAATGATCGATGGGGTTGTCCGCTCCAAATGTCGTACATATTGTGCATACGACAGATGACCTCCATTTTGGTGCACATTTGATCTCGTGCGAGATAAAAGTATGGTTGGGTTGTGTTTGAATGTGGTTCGGAGGAAGTTTTGAGTGGCCTTTGTAAGGACCGGATAACCTTTGGCATTGGATATAAAGGAAGTCGCAGGTAGGAGGACCTGGTAGCATGGCTCCGTACTCCATCTTGACAGTATTCCAGCGGATGAGGGAAGCGGAAGAGTAAGATCGAGCGCTAGAAATCGGTCTCAGTGCCAATACTGGTCTATGATCAAACCAATTACTCAAGGATAGTCGTGGATTATAACCGCATACAGTCCGTATCGCATCCCACATTTCCCACGTGGTGCTGAGATCACCATCTGGTGCACGCGCATGTACGCTCAGTGGCACGTTATTCGATTCGGATTCCGGGGCTATAGACCTTTTTGGAACGGAACGTGGATCATATATTGGCATACGTATCGAGACTTGTAGATATGTTGTAGTAGAGTGGAGACATGCATTGACTGCTCTTGCATAGTCGGCCACATTTTGACGGTTTCGTGGTGGCGGAAGAATGACAGACTGGAGGTTCAAGTAGGATGCAAATGACAGCTCTTGTTTTAGGGCCTAGATAGTGAGAGGATATGTGTTAGGGAGAGAAAAGAGATCCTGCCAAAACGAACTATTTCGGAATCGTATCTCAAGCCATCATCGGGTGAATCCAGCTCTAGCCAGTCAGACACCATACCAATAGTGTTCAAAGCCTCGTCTTGAAGAGAGATTATTCGATTGCTTGGAGGGAGAGAAATTCACTAACCTAGTCTTGTAATATTCATCTCCGACCTTTCAAAAGGACCTTCGGAGGCTCTCCAATCTTCTGCCAATTTTGCGATTTCTGGTTCCTGCTTTCCACCATCTGTGAGGCACATTTTCTTCCACCGTGTCCGCCATGCATTGTTAGTCAAAGGAATGCTGATGAAGTCGTAGCCATCATCCACTGCAGCTTTGGAGAGACGAAGCACAGAGGTGGAATCGTTCGTCGAGCTATAGGCTGTTTGTGCGTCTATATCTTCCTGCGAGAAAACCGCGGCGAGGTGCACTTGTGCCATCGGATCGGGCAGGGTCGAAAGGGCACCAACATGCCACAGATCGACACTTACGCCTCACAGCACAACTCGTGTACATAAAAACCGCGTTGCCAGCCATGTATACAGCAAAGTTTATTATTCAAGAATCCCCAAATATGATAAAATATTATGATCCGTCAATCGTTAGTGTGCGGAATCTCCTTCCATCATGCATTGCCTGTGAAGAATGGGAATGGTGCTATCTTTGGAGATACCCCTGATCTGAGTTGTTCTCTCTCCCACTCCAAATCGTCAAGATACTGGTCAATGGCCACACCAGGTCGATTACTCCCAGAATCTGGCCGCCCCATCTCTTTGCGCTTCATACCGTAGGCAACATCCATATCAGGATCATCCGCTAGAGCAACGTAAGTTTTCGCTACCCCCCAATCCACTTCCTTTGTTACGAACTGAAACTGTTTTGCGGCGCGCTCTCGCTTTCTTCGCTCTTCCCTTTCTTCTGCATCAGGAGGAGGCGGTGGTGGTTCTCTATCAGTTGGGGGAAGAATGATAAACGACCTTGTGTGTAATAGGTGAGGCGTAGTTGATAGAGTTGAAGGCGGAAGATTGTTCAATTTGCAAATATCACGGGGCTAGGGGAGTAATGGTCAAAATAGTGATAGAGAAGATAGGCTCGATTTACTTACATTGACTTTGAACCGCAAGGCTATGCCATGCAAGGTGTCACCCTTAGTGAGCCAATATTTCTTGGGCACTGCAGGTACTGTTGCTTCCCCAAGCTCTGGCTGTATCAAGGCTGAATCCTCTAGATCATTTCCTTTGGGGGGATCGCCGTTCGTCTCAGCGGGGCCGTCTGGATCATCTGTAGGACTTGCCGGGGCTTGGTCATCATCATCTTCCCCAATGACGAACGCAGTTTCGTCTTGTTTACGCTGCTCTGTAAGAGGACTCTTATACTGATTCGTAGCCCCCTTCATAGAGCTTGCTCCGACGACTTGAACCCCGCCACAGCACGCAAGACACGGGTCATAAAACCGCAGCCGAGGATTTCGGTTCAGACATGCTGCACATATAGGCTTATTGCAGCAATTGGTCGTAAACGGTACTGTCGACGGTCGAAGAATATTTGAACAGCATGCAAGACACAGAGAAGTCATTGAAATGGGGTGTGTGGAGAAGCAAATTGGTCGGGTGGCAAGTGTAGTAGACTCAGGTGCTAGCTAGCTCTCGCTATTTCTCCAGCTCCGTCAAATTAAGCATCTTCATTGACTTTTATCACATTTCCGAACTTTAATATCCGATCTAAAGTCAAAAATACCTGGTATTTGGAATGGACATTACTGCATCGATCTCGGAAATGGGCGACGTCCCAAGGATCTCGTTAGCCCCCAGTCGATCGGCTGAAGATATCGCTACTGAGATTCGTGCTGCATGCTTGAAGAATGGGTTCTTCCAAGTAACTGACTACTACCAAATTGTTCCGAGGGATCTACCGGGACAAGCTTTGGCAGCCGCACGCGAGTTCTTCAACCTACCTTTAGCCATCAAACGAGGCCTTCACAAAGTTGATCATGTTGCTGGGGGCTATGAGCCATACAAGGTCATGAACTTGGACCCTTCAGATCCTATGGGTTATGGGCACAACGAAGGTTTCTCGTTTGCTGCTGAGCCGACTCCGACCGCTTGGCCTTCCACAGCTGATCTACCAGCCTTCAAACAGGTTATGCGTTCCTATTATGGAGCTGTCACCGACCTAGCAAAGTCGTTAGGGCGTTTTCTGGCTCTTGGTCTAAACCTGCCCGACAGTTATTTCGACGACTTCTACCAAGATCAGTTGGCGCACGTTAAGCTCGCACATTACTACAGGTCCGATGGATCAAAGGTTACTGAGAGTAACGTTGGAGTCGCTCCACATACGGACTGGGGGGCTATTACCATCCTATTGCAGGATGAGGTCGGTGGTCTCGAGGTTCTCGACCAGGAGAGCTCAGAATGGATCAAGGTTTGTTATATTCCGCAATACTTGACTGTCTATTGAATGAAGCAGGTACCACCGATACCAGACGCGTTCGTTATCAATTTAGGCGATCTATTAGCTCGTTGGACCAACGATGAATACAAATCCACAAAGCATCGTGTGATTTCGCCACCCCCTGGCGTTCACAGATACTCTATCCCCTTCTTTTCCCAAGGTCACCCTGACTATATCGTTCGAACCATCCAAACCTGCCTCAAAGAAGGCGAGCAGACAAAGTACAGCCCCATCAGAGCTGAAGATTACCTAAAATTGAAGTTCGAAAGCACCTACAATATGAATAGAGATCCGGGCTTGATTCTGTAGGCTGTTCATCTTGGCAGTTCAGCAACGGTGCCGAAGGCTAGCCTTTTCTGCGGATCCCTGCCCTGATCGTGAACCAAAACATCGTGTATTCGGGCAAAAATGGCATGTCATTCATTTGCCCCACGATAGGCGAGTTTCTGGCATATTCTGACGTACGGTGCTGTGCTGTGTCGAATGGCCTCGTGTATTGTGCACTTTGCCCGTTCACCAAGCTCGAGATATAAAAACGACAACCGGTGCCTTCAAAAATTTCAACCCCACTCCCAATCTTCGAAAAACCACTTCTAACCATTTCACCAAGATGTCCCTTCTCCTATCAACCATCGGCCCTTTGCTGCATCATGTCGAGAGTCCAGCATGGACCGAGATCGATCGGCTCCGCTCAAAGAAGCATCTCCTCACCGTAAAGCCAGCATTTCGACCGGTTGGAGGTGATCGCGAAAGGGAACAAAGACGCAAGAAGCGACAATGGCAACACTGGCAGTCTGCTATGGACGCCGCGGTGGAAGCACTATGGAGAGAAACCTCCTCGCAAGAGCAAGAGTACGCAAAGGTTGAACCTATCAGTGAAGCTTCCACTGCGGGTGTAGCCAAGTCTCTCGATGCTCACCAACCAGTCTCGGTGCCAACATCAACCTTCTCCTTCGATCTACAACAACCAAAGAAAATCTTTCCTTTTACCAATGCCGACTCCTCATTCGAGTTCACCTTCCGTACCTCAGATAGGACGCCCTCCCCTGCCGCAAACCCTATCAAACTGCACACCAAAAGGCATTCCGTCTCCGTTGGATGGAAACGTCTCTGCATTGCGGATAATGCTAGCGAAGACACTCCACAAACAAGAGAGACCACCAGATGCAAACGTCTTTTGCAGAAAAGACCAGCTGGTGAGCGTATGAGGCGGCGAAGCAAAACTTTATGGAACCACAGGATGCGTTCCGAATCGCAAGCACGAATTTAAGAAAACGGATCAGGCTTATATCGGCTAGCCCGATGACCCTCTCACCTGACAACACCATATACCTTGTAGACCCCTAGATTTGGGGCATTAAATTATGACAAGTAATATTTGTAACTTTAACTTTATACCTGTATCTAGTATCATGGATCCACGCTGCATCCTGAAAACTCGTTGTTGTACACCTAGTTTTGGAAAACAGAGTTTTCTTTTCTTTTACCTTACCACGATATCTGACAGTACCCGGCCATCCGCCTTTCTAC